TATATATGCTTCTATAAACAAATCACTTGTGTAATTGTATAACTATGCTTCTATAAACAAATCACTTGTGTAATTGTATAACTATGCTTCTATAAACAAATCACTTGTGTAATTGTATAACTATGCTTCTACAAACAAATCACTTGTGTAATTGTATAACTATGCTTCTACAAACAAATCACTTGTGTAATTGTATAATTATGCTTCTATAAACAAATCACTTGTGTAATTGTATAACTATGCTTCTATAAACAAATCGCTTGTGTAATTGGGTCACTATGCTTTTGTGCTTTCTTATGATATTTTGTAGAAGACCAAGAATTGCTAACTTAAATATGTACTCAAGGATGTTTTGTATGATTTTCATAGTTAAGAAAAGTTTGTAGGTCATTCTGGAAACACAAGCAGTATTCTGATTATTATGTTTATCTCTGACTGATCATTAATTTTCCTGTTGTAAAAGGCATCCTTATTCATCACTTAACTGTGATAATGCTTTTCATTGCTAATTTATTAACAAAAAGTAGAACAGATAGTGAAAAGCATGCTTAGTATCAAAGATATCACAGAATAAACTTATTTATTACAACATCAGCATAAATCTACAATAATATTAAAAGGTAAAACCACTAAATAATAAACAGGTTTACTTAAACAGCTGAGAAAGATTTGAATGAAAATTTGTTATTCAATGAGAAATTATAAATTCTGAAATATTTAAATTTTGGTTTAAAATGCTTACAAAATACTGTATGTAATAGACACATTGTGATTAAGTGAAAATAGAAAAAAATTATAGAATGCTTGTTTCTTTACAGATAAGTGTATTTAGTATGACATAAAATGTACAATAAATAACTTTCAAGTAGTTCACAGAACATTACCAAAAGACATGGAAGCTGTTATACTATGTGCATTGTGATATGCCATTTGCTCACTTATGCTCTTGATAATTTTTTAAGATTGTGGACTTGGCATACAGAGAAGCTCCTAATGTTTTGCTTCATCTCGCATAAAGTTCACTATATACCTTAAATGCTCATAGTTTCTCTCTGAACATCACTACAACTTATAAAAATGTTCATTAAAATATAAATGTATGGTTACTTATTTTTGCAGAAAGTAGTATAGGTGTCAGAGTTTTAAAATTGCATCTCTTATGGTGCCAATTTCTTGACTCAGTATATTTAGATACATGTAAACTTTTTAAACAATCCACAAATTTATAAAAATTGGATTTTTTTTACTTAGTCAAATGTACAATATAATGTTTTTAAATTGAAAACTAAATCCTGGTACAGTACCTTGCCTTGGTATCAAACTCAAGACCTGTCACACGTCAGACTAGCTAAAGGGTTATCCTACTAGAAACTAAAAAAAAGTTACTTTTCAACAATTCCAACTACCACATTCTTCCCTTCTCATAAATAAGGCCTGTCCCTGACCCTTATTTCAGTGTCATGGAATAACCATTAGTTGAGCAGCAGATTTTTCAGTTTTTGCATCTCCCACAAGCAGAAATTGAACTAGAGACTGTTTGCACTTCAAGTGAATGCTCTAAAAACTGATTTAAAAGGTTATCCTGTTTAAAATTGCTAATATTAAAGACTTTTTAACAATCCAACCTATCACACTAGTTTTACTATAGATACAGTTTAGTCTCTTAAGCATATAAATTAAATAATTAAACATTTACATCATATTAAAACCTTAGTAATATAGAATTGAAATTATTAAAAAGTTAGATTTAAATAAAACTTTCTATTGCTATTAATTTCATTCAGGAATCTAAAAAGGTGTGTGTTTTTTGTTTAAAAAAATCTCACTAGTATAAAGTGCATAAAGTAGAGAACCATGCTTCTATTCCATGTATTCTGGTGATATGACGGTTATTTGTAGACAACTGTGGTAAAACATTGATTTCAAGAGGGTTCCTTACTTGTACTGTGAATAATGCAACATGTTTTACATATTAGTAAATTTCGATAGTTTTCAGTAATGGATGTTCAAGGTACTAGTGCAAGTCCTGAGTTATATAAAGTAGTGCTACTTTAGAAAGGGGCAAGTAACAATGTTGAAAAATTATCATCTAGCTGTTTAACTTTCACTGCTATTGGAAAGGAAGAGTAAAGTATTTCTATCACTACATGAAAAATTAATTTTCATTTGATTCTTAAAATAATGTTAATTATTAATTAAAGTTTTAAGAACACCCTTCTACAATTGATATCTTTATGCGTGACCTGAACAGGTGTTTTTTAGGTCAAATTATCAAGTTGACAAACTAGCTATTTTTATATCTATATAGTGGTGTATAAGAACACGTTAAACAATATGTGAGTTATGTATTTTTTGTAATAGGTATTATTCAAAAAAATTATTTTCTACAGTCTATATTTGTTGATGAATCTTACTTTCTTTTGCCAGGTTGAAAATAGTAATTCCGCATCTCCACACACAATTGTAAGAAGAAAGTTGAGAAAACGTAACTGATGAACCAAGTTTCAAGATTCTAGCAAAGGAATCATTTTTATTTTTTTATATATGTAAATTGGTGTTCAATAACTGTACACTACTTTCTGTGTATATGAACTGTCTTGTGTCTGATCACGTAGTTTCCATTTTTTCTCTTCACATGTACATATGTGCTTTCAGTTGATAATTAAATACCCATTTCTAAAATAGTTTTGTGTTGTTTATAAAATTGTATTGGTAATTAGATGCACAAACAATGGCACATTCAAGACAAAAATATTCTTTTGTGGGATTAAAAGAATATTAGTAGAAATGAAGGTACAGCAATAATATATCCACAAAATCGAGTGTAGGAGTGTTTTGTGTTTCTTTTATATTTCTAATTTTTTTATTTATGGGTTTTTTCTTCTTGATAGCATAGTTTCATCAAGATTTAACTTTCTCTAAGTCTGTGCAAATGACTAATAATGATCGTCAATTTTGTTCTGGTAAATCGTGATATTTGCAAGCATTTTATGAAGCTAGACGGTAAGGTTGAGAGCTTATAATGTTTAAATTCGGGTTTCGATCCCTGCAGTGG